GCTGGGAGGTGCCAAGAGCCTTCTGGCCTAAGGGCATGTTTGAGGACGGGGCCCTTTCAGCCAGGAGTGGAGCTTGGGGTGATGGGACCTCCCTCTGACACTCAGTTCCCAGGGGCTGACAAAGGCTTCTGGAGAACCAGAGTCACGCCACTTTCCCAGGGGTACAGTGGGGCAAGGCAGCAGCGTTGCCTCTGCAGTCAGAGCTCCCTGCAGACTGGGTCTGCCTGGGGAGGTCTGCCTGGGAGCTGGGCTTTGCGAGCCAGGCCTCTTCCTGTGCCAGGCCCCTAGCTCTGCACACTGGGCTCCCCAGGCTGCTGCACTCTCCCCTGCCCTGGGGCTCTGCCTCCTCACCTTCAGGTCTCAGGTCACATCTCACCACCTCAGGAAGGCCCCCCTGACTTCCAGATTCAAGTCAGTGCAGCTCCCTGTTTATCGCCTTCCCAGCATTTCCCACATCCCACCTTCGTCTTTGTTTGCCTGTTCACTCTTGTGTAGCTTTCTCCACTGCAACGGAAGTACTTTGAGGACAGTATCCTAGTCTGCTTTGTGTTCCCAGCACCTAGAATAAATTCTGTCACATAGGAGGGGCTCTGTGACTAGTCACTGAATGAACAGGTGGATGGAGAGCAGGCAGACAGGCACTCCTGAAGTGCCCATTGTTACACCCGTGGCGGGTATAGAAACTGCGCAGCCTGCAGAGCTGGGTCTCTGCATGGCTCTCACACAAACCCGAATTCTGCAGCCACATACAAGGTACTTGGGGTGGTCTCTGCAATGAGGGAGTCGAAGTTGACCAGACAGTTTGTCTCCGGACCACCTTGGGCATGTCTAAGAGTATAAGTTTTCTTGGGATGGTAGGGGAAGTACTGGAACTGTTACCTCCAGCTCCTGGATGGCACACCCCACACATCTGTACACCTCTGTACACACACCACTCTTCCAGAGGCAAGTCCTCAGCTCCAGGTCTTTAAAAAACATGACCCATGGTACGGGCTGCAGCTCCCTGGTGAGTTGGTATTGTTACACAGAAAGTAAACATGTAATCCATGTTTAAAGGGCTGTGTCTGCCAACAGAAGGGCACTTGGTTCCTGTGCAAGTACCTTCTGTCCGCAGAAGCTGGAGACCACTGCCATTCCAGGCTGGGCATCACAGCAGGCGGCAGTGAGGCCGTCGGTGCACAGGGCGGCTGGTTCTTGGCACTGTGCGTGCCTTCTGCATCCATGTCTCACTCTTCTTGGCACATTTGGGGCCCTGCAGAGTGTGCGGCCACCTTAGAGCCAAGCTGTCATCTCACAGTGGCTTCATGGCCGGGTGGGTGAGGTAGTGGGGACTTCAGCCTGTCCTTTGCTGGAGCACTGAGGCCTGCAGGAGGCCGGACTGTGACCTGCAGTGGAGACATCCGAGGCCGTGCAAGGGGGTGGGGGTTCTCTTGGCAGTCGAGCCGAGGACAAGTTCTCAGAAAGGCTGCCCTTCGCAAACATGCCTGTGGCCGTTAGCTGACTGGGGTAGAAAGCTAATGGGTTTCTCCTCAGGGGCCATTGAGGGCCCCATCCCTGAGCCAGTTACAGAGACTGAGTCAGAGTTTGGAAGCAAAAGAACCAGTTGTGTGTGCTCCGTGGAGCAGGCAGTGGCTTCCTGTTCCGGTCAGTGAAGAAGGACCCCTTCCTCTGTCCAGGTCTCTGTCTGACCCCTCCGCTGGGATCACACGGGCTTGCCCCCTGCCCCTGCCAGCCTGCACACCTTCACCTGCTCTCCGAGGTGACAGCAGCCCCATCTGTGACTCCCCATCAGGAATCCTCCTCTGAATCACAGCGGGAGTCTCTAGCACCCACTGTACAAGAGGACTTGTTTCTCCTGCGGCCATAACTTTCATGTAACAGTTCCCATTCCTGACCGTATTCAGTAAATTTAATTAGCGTTGAAAAGCAGCTTGTTTGGTAAGATGATCAGTTTCTAACCTGGGTCAGCGACTCGCTTTATGGCTATGAATTAAGCCCATTCTCTCTTTTCAGTGCCTCGTGGTCATCCTCATAAACACTGTCGGCAGTTGCTGGCGGCTTCACTCGGTTACCTTTCCCATTACTGCTTGATCACCGTCCTGCCAGGAGTGGGGAATCCATTCTGTTTTAATAACAAGGAGGAAGTGGTGACAAGGGGCTTGTTTAATGAGGAAACCTCCGGTCAGTCGGTGTCTCTGCGGCCGGGCCCCGGATTCCGGCCCGCCCCTGTGCAAGGCGTTCTCAGCTGTCGCGAGGCTTGCTGTCTACAGACTGGGAAGGGCAGCCTCAGGGCTTGAAAGCTACTTTTGTCTTAATTGCAAATAATTAGCCATCAAATATTTGCTGACAGCCGATTTCTGTGTCGGAGAGAACCTGAGTGTTCTGGACAACTTCAATGAGCACAGGCTGGCACGAGTGTTTTCTTAACACTGAGCCCTCGAGTACAGCCCGTGGGGAAGGCCTCAGTCACACCTGCAAGCTAATCAAGCGTGGGCATTGGAGGCACAGCGCAGGACACTGTCTTCAGAGGTGTCCACTGCAATCTGGGCCCCCAGGCGCTTCAAAGGAGGAGCCAGGTAGAGGGGGCTCTCCCCGCATCCACAGGGAGCTGGCTTCACTTTGACTGCTGAGGCTGGACTCGTGGCCTCTGAAGCCCCTTCCTGCTCTGCCGCTCCAGATTCCAGTCCTCTTTAACCCCAGAAGGCCCACCTCCATGGACATCTGTCTCTCCTTCAAGCCTGCATCCTTCCCGCTTCCCAAATGCCCCCTTGGAGAAGGCAAGGGGAGATGCACCCCTCAAGAGGTCACTGCACGCAGGGCCCCCGTGACCCTCCCCATCCCAGTCTCTAACCTGGGCTTTCGTAAGCAGCACCAAATCAGAATTAAGGAGATCAGCTTTTAAAACTGTTGTGTTTCTTAAAGCCTTAGTGTGCGGGGGCTACATGAGGACAAAGGCCCCCCACCTGCAGGGCTTCCTGAGACCAGACAGTGGGCAGAGACTGGGGCAGATGCTCAGGGAGGGAGATTCAGAGAGGCGCTCAGAAGTGAGCTGGCAGTGACCACTTCACAGAGGAAATGGACCCTGAGGGCAAGTTGGAGCTGGCTCAGGCAGAAGGAGAGGGCAGTCTGGGTGGGCAGCACAGCAGAGCCAAAGTGCTAGAGGCAGGAACTGAGACCAGAGGCTCGGAAACTCGGGCTGCTTCTTCAAAATGGGGTGGTTAGTGGGTGCCCTTCCCATCGTGTGTGGATGTTTATTAGAACCATGATGTGATGGCAGTGCTTTGTGTCCTGGCTCTGTCTTGGGAAAGAAACAAAAGCTGATATTTTTAGAGCTGTATTAGTTTCTTCTGGTAGCCGCCAGTGCTTTCCAGGGTAACCCATTTTCCAACCACTCAGGAGAGTCATGCTAATCAAACACACTCTGTGGCAAAGCAGCCATAAACACCACGGGCGGAGGGCCTCCAGCCCAGAGCCTCCCACCGCCAGGTGCCTTTGGCTCCCTCCACCTGTCAGGAAGATGTGCACTGGGACCAATGAATGCCACCGAGCCTTTACCGTGACATGCGAACAATTAGCAAAGTGGATAAAAGAGAGTCACACGCCCACTTAGGATCTGTACTTTTACACTGCTCAGAGGTATTCTGACCTTCCAGTTTATTATGATTCAAGAAAAAGTCAATATTTCTTAGCTTGTCAAGGCTGGAGGAATTTAAATGAGTTATTGAACCAAGCAGTTAATCTACCAATAACTGATTTTTTTTTCCTTTCAAATCTATAATGATGAAAAGCAGACTTAACCAAAAACAAGCAAAGGAAGGGTTTTTTTTCCGTAGACATTTTAATCCCATGGGATAGGAGCTGGGGCTGAGAGTTCTGTCTTGAGTGCCAGGGCCATTCTGTCTTCCTGAGTATTTTGAAGACTATTTAATTAAAACTTAAAAGCAAAGACTTGAATGGCCGTAAAATCTACATTCGTGTTTTAATGGTTTGTATTTTGGTGTCCTTTTATAATTCTGAACTTCCTTTCTGTTGCCACTAATGCTGCATGGCAATCACCCAACTTTCTGGACCCCTGTGATAGAGTGTTATGTTGGTTATAGATGCTCGCATGGCCTTTCAGTGAAGTGTGCCCTTTCAGCAATAAGTCACTCTACCAGCTGCCCTGCCCGCTCTGGTGTGTGAGCTCTGGGCACCATGGCCTGAGGTCATGTAATATGTTGGGTGCAGCGGACACTCAGCAACATGGCAGGTATGAGACCCGAAGTAACATGGCAGCTGCCATTTCCAGGGTCTCAGCCTTCTTGCCCATGGCTGCAGCTTTGTGCTAGAAAACGTTGGACTGTGGAGAAAGGCTGCAGGTGCCACTGTGGATGACGTGTGTCCTGGAGAGCCATATTCTCCCCAAAGGAAAGGGTAAACCTGTGGCCTTCCTGCCTTGGCAGCTCCCCTCCGGAACACATAGAGTACTGCTTTCTCCTTACTCCACTTACTCCCTAAACTCCATGATGGCTCCCCAGTTCCTAACATATCAGACGAAATTCCTCAGGGTGACTCTCTAAGTCTCCCAGAACCACACCTTGGCCCCCTTACCCTGCTCCCACCCCTGCACAAAACTCCTCCTCACATCAGTCTCGCCCAGAGGTGTGCAGACACTCCTGTGGCGTGGTTAGGGGAGCCTTGACCCAAGCCTTCTGACTCTTGGAACACCCTTCTCGCAGCCGGCAGCGTCCCTTGGCAGTTTGCCACTTCCATATGGCCTCCCTGTTTCCTCCTCCCTCCCAGGATGGGCAGGGTGAGCTAGCCATGAACCTGAGCTCCACACAGCAGGGCCCTGCTCTAGCACCCACACTCACCTCCTGTTGGAGGGGCAGGGACTCCACTGGGCACTCTGAGCCCCCAGGCTTCAGCTTCGTAGGCGAGTGGAGCCTCTGCTCAAGGAAGCATGTGACTCCTGCACTCAAGGACTTGCAGCTGACCCTCTGTGTTTGTGTGCCTGGCAGGGCTTTCCGGCCACAGTGGGCTGCCAACCTCCTGCGGAAAGAAGTTCTGCAGCCATGGAAGCAGGTGTGTGCTCAGCAGGGAGACGGGGGAGCCCGAATGCCGGTGCCTGGAGGCGTGCAGGCCCAGCTACATGCCCGTGTGCGGCTCCGATGGGAGGTTTTATGAAAACCACTGTGAGCTCCACCGTGCTGCGTGCCTGCTGGAGAAGAAGATCGTCATCGTCCACAGCAAGGACTGTTTCCTTAAAGGTAGGGAGACAGCTTCTTGCCCCTATGCTTTTGGGTTTTGTGTTGGATCTTCGAATGCCATTTGACAAATGACCTGGGTGCTGAGTCTGCAGGTTAACTGTGTAAAGGCAGTAGAGAAAGAGGAAGCCTGGAGCCTTAACAAAACGGCAGCAGTGGCATTTCCACGATGCGTGTTCTGTTTGTGTCCACCTCCAGAGGCTCCCCGCCCTTAGAGGACGCCCTTGGAGGGCGGAATCCAGGCAGGCCCAGCCAAGCCCTGGCTGGTGCAGAACACCTGTCCAGCAGGAGCCAGACCACAAGGGGTTGCCCAGGTCTCTCCTGCAGGATAGGCCCTTGCAAGCTGGTGACAGGGACCACATTTAGCCCTAGGGACGGAGTTGCATGAATCAGGAGGCCATGATATGTATAGAATGTGGCCGGATGGACACCAGCACAGTGGTTCCCAGCATGGCAGGCACTCAAACTCTGTCCTGGAGCGGTCGCTGACGGTTCAGACCCTCCATGCCTGTCCAGATTACCTCTGAGCAAGACAAGGAAGGCCCTGCGTGGACTTTAGAACATGTCCTTGGAGTTGGGGAGAAAGGGTTCATGCTCCGTGCTGGGGTTGAGTCAGAGGAGAAGGGCATGTCAGCTCCCACCGGCTGGTGGGAGCCTCAGGGACGGGCCTTCAGCTCTTCACGTGCTATTTTATTCTCAGCACCTGACACAGTGCCTTGCACCAAGTAGATGCTCAGCGGCTCACAACTACTTGAAGATGTGAGTGTTAGAATCCAAATTCCTGTGTTGATGCGGCCCCGTGAATGCTACATGCCACAGCCTGTAGAGATAGTTGTGATGCTGAAACCAACTGGCCACACATCAGTAAATTAGGAAATATGAAAAGCCAGAAGCAGCATGTGGAGAGAGGGGAGCAGGCCCACTTCACCTGAGCTGGGGGACTTTGGAGGTAGGAGAGCCCACCTGAGGTTGTATGAGGCCAGAGACCTGCTTTGGGGTAGGGCAGGGAAAGGAAGAGAAGACTTGGGATGAAGCCCACCAAGTGCCTGCAGGGCTGACAGAATAGGGCTTCCAAGTGGTCCGACCTGTGGGGGGCCTGGGCGCCCAGAGGGGAGGGCAGAGCTCCAGCCTCGCTCCAACAGGCTCCAGGCCCAGGATGGTGCGGCCGGGATGTTGGGCATTCTCAGTGGTGGAGCACAGGTGTGTTGGACTCCTACAGCCTCTACCCATGCCAACTGCACCCTATAAAGGGCCACTTTCCCACCCTCGCCCACAGGCCATGGCAGTGGGGTCCCAGAGCAGGTGGGGCTTTGGAAGGGCAAGTTTATCCTGTGATGGAAATAGTCTTGGACACTTTCATGGCTGCACTTATGACACTAATGTGGAGGTGCTTCAGAAATCATGAAGCACATTATGGAAATGAGGCCAAAATGAGCCCAGGAATAATGTCCCTGGTCTGAAGGCACTGCCCAGCTGCACACCTGCCGATTCCCAGCACCGTGAGCACTAAAATGCTTGACCAGTTGCTCCAGCTTTATTGGCCGTGTTGAATTTTATAGACTGATGTTCTGTTCTCCAGTTTCCAATATCCTCCAAATTGCATCTTTCTAAAGGTTTTTATTTCTGCATCAGAGTGTGCACAGCCTCCCTCCCCATCGGTTATTCAAACAGCATTTCTCATTTCATGCAAGGGAACAGACAACCACCACAAAACCTGCCGCGGTGAGGGATGAGGTGGGGAGAGCCAGAGAGGATAGGGGTGGGGGCAAGCAGATGAGGGCTTGGTTCTGCTTCATGCTGATTGAATTTATCCACCGAATCCTTCTGATTCATTGAGTTTTTCACAGATGTTGTGAATTCCCAACCGCTCGGTGTGGCATTGCTGCTCTCCTGGAGGAGAGAAGTACCTGCAAGCTCCTGGGGAGACCTGGGGTTGCAGCCTGGCTCTGCCACTTCCCAGCTGTGTGGCCTTGGGTGCATCCCTCCACTTCTCTGGGCCTTTTCTTCAGCTGTAAAATGGGGCTATCGGCTATACCTACCTGCTCTGTGGAGAGAAGTAAATGAGATGCTGCACAGAAACCACTTAGCATGTGCTTGGCACACTACAAATGTTGGTTATTAATGACACCTGGTTGTCATCATTTGCTCTAATCCAACGTGGCCTCAGGCTTAGAGCAGAGAGGTGCACAAACTGAAGGGAATGCAGAGGTGGGAACAAGGGCTCTGCCTAGCAGGTCTGGTCCCAGGTAGCTTGCTGGTAGATGGAGTGTGGGTGAGGACGGCGCTGAGAGTCCGGTCCTACTGCTGTCCTGGAGATGCCTACCTGGATCCAGCTCTCCTCCTCCTGCAGACCTGGCCCTGTGGGTCTGGACCCCATGCAGAAGGCTTCACTGCTTCATGCTCAGGGTCAGCTTCAGTCCCTGGCGGGCGGGAGGGCTGGCCTGCCTCTCCTCTCTAGCATTCCCATAGGGAGTGCCCAGCAAACAGGAATGACATGTTCGCTGGTCGCAGGGGCCTTAACAGGATGGAAAGGAGGCCAGCCCTAAGGAGGCTGCTCCAACAGGGAGCAGGAGGAAACGGATTGACAGAGGGCTGCTGGGAGGGGTCTTGGAAGAAAGGAGGGTGTAAAGGACAACATCCTTCAGTCCCTATCCCAAGACGGTGGCAGAATAATGCCACCTTGAGTTCCACTGATGACAATTTGTCTTTTATCCCAAATTTCCAGAAAGTTATTGATACGGGAAACTTAAAAACACCTTTTTTCCATACAAACAAAAATTATAAAATCGTCCATGTTCCCTTCTCCTTCCCTATCAGACTTTACAAAGATAAAGTTATGACTTTGTTCTCTGGGGCTTTATCTGTCCCCAGAAGTCACTATTAGGACAATTCTTATGGGGCCACTGTGTGTAGAGCAGAGGGAAGACGTGGTGGATTTTGCTGGCCGAGTCCCCGCACCCTTGTGGGGGAGGTTCCTCCTGAGCACTGCGTGGGGACACAGCCCTTGCCACTCCACAAAGGAGGAGAGGCGGCATTCTGAGCCCCAGTTACAAGAAAACTTCTGCTATCACATTCCAGTTGCCATGGCAATGGGGTTCCTTGTGAATGTGGAATGAAATATAACATCATTTAGGGATCATTAGCATGTGAGGAAATCAAAACAGAACTCAAAAGCATTGCTTCAGCTCGAGTCTGCAGCTTTGAGACCAGCTCTCCCCAAGTCCCGTGCAGGGTCTCTTGTGCTGACGATCAAGCAGACAGAGGGATGTGGGCTGTTGTATCTCTTTCTTCTGGGCAAAATTAGAGTCACGTTTATCCTTAGCACCAAATACCACCAGAGAGTACCAAAATAGTGGGTGGAATTCTCTGTAACTTGAACTTCTTATAGAGTTTGTGTTTTAAAAGTTATCTTATGACATGCGTCCCTATTTGTGTACTAGTTGGCACTTTTAAAATTATTTTTCTGACTCGGTTTTGAATTCACACTTTATCTGCTGCTCTGTTTGAGAAGCCAAGCTTTCCTTTCAGCAGTCACCCTCCACACCAGGGTGGTGTTATCTCAGATGATACAGTGTCATCGTTGGGCAGTTTTCCAAACAAACCTTGAAATTAGGGAGGAAAGGAGCCTGTTAGGGGTTTCGTTTTAAATGGACCTTCAGCTTCCTCATCCTGCACGCAGTTTGTAGGTGCCCTTGGGGGCTTCAGAAGGAAGTTCCGAGGCTCAGGAAATCTGAGGAAATAATTTCCATTTTTGGCCAAAATAAAATTTTTTAATTTTTTAATAGGCTTACTAACAATCCATTTTTAATTTTTATTTTATTGATAAACCAAACTTTTATTACTAAACACAGGAATAAAAACCCAATCTTTTGTTGCAAGTTAACAGAGCAGAGAGATCTTACTGTCAAAGAGACTCGGCTTTTTTTTCCCCTTATTGTTATTTTGTTGTCAACATTACTTTGAGTCTAGTTGCTTTAGAAACATAAATTAAGCCCCCGCCTCCAGGGCACGGCCACGCTTCTGCAAGTGTGTTCTGCCCTGCCCGGGAAAGCTGCCTGCATCCCCAGCTGAGTGAGCCCAGCCTCAGCCGCAGACTCAGCTCTGGGAGGTGAGAGGGGGAATATCTGGGGAAGGGTCTAGAGAAGAGACGTTGGAGGTGCATCTGCACGGGTGAGCGAGGACGTCCTCAGGAGCAGGCGTGGAGCACCTGCAGACTCAGGCAAGAGCAAGGAACTAACATGCAGAGCCTGGAGCATGGGGAGGGGTGCCCTGTGGATAAACGCAGACAAGTACAGAAGAGCGAGCTGAGGAAGCCTGTGTGCCAAGCTAGACAATTGGAACTCAAGCCATAGAGTGTCAGATAAGCTAGTCCAACTTTCCAGTTTCCCAGACAGGGACCCTGAGGCCCAGAGAGGGCTAGTACCGGCCCCAGGTCACACAGGCTCTGCCCCTGCAGCCCTCCCTTCAAAAGCACCCATAGCTTTGGGGCTGTTTGTCCAGCGAAGCGTGTTCACCACGGATGCAATGGCTTTATCCTTTCTCCTAGGAGATGTCCTGGCGGGGAAGGAGGGCGCAGGAGCCATAGTCAGTGGGAAGGGCCTGGTTACTGCTGGGCGGGGCCTCTCAGCTCTGCAGGTCAGCAAGAAGCCCAGCTCAGGGCTTCTCCAAGAGAGCTGGCTCAGTCACCCTAAAGTCACAGGGCCTACGGAGGTCAGAACACTAGACCGCTCTCTCCCCTCCATGGAAGGAATATGTAACCAGGAAGAGCCTGGGACAAAACAGCAGAGCCTCTGGGACGAGCCCTCCTTCAGCCGGGGCTGGCTTCCGGTGCTAGCCTCCACTTTCTCTCCAAACCCTCTTTCCTGTTTCCAGTGTCTTCCAATTGTCCTTCCACTCCTGGCCCCACCCACAATCTGTCCAGAGGCCACTGCTGCTCCCCCAGCCCTTGCAAAGTAATGCCTCTGCACCCAGCATCCTTCTGGGCCTTCACTTTGACCTCCATAGCAGAGTCTGTGACCATTTTCCTCTGAGCCGCCCAGCTTCTCGGGCATTATTGAATGTTCTCTGGGTACCAAGGCTGTGCAGGACCTGAGGATACCAGTGTGATCAGGATGCCAGACCTGACCTCGTGGAATTGACAGGTCCCCAGCACCCCCACTCTCTGAGCCATCATGTGCAGGCTGCTTTAGCCAGAGACACCCCCAAGACCTCAAGGACCAGTGGGAATCTTCAGGGACTGTCTCTTGTCCTGCAGCCTCCCACATAGGTTCTGTCATCATCAGTGTGAACAGCTGGGGTTCACCAACAGCCCCCCTGGTGCAGCAGCCCTCGGGCTCAGTCATCCCATTTATAGTTATCTTTTTCTAGGATCAAGAAACACGATTTAAAACAAAAATGCGTGTTCTTTGGCTGTTTCCTCTAGGTTTTATGCAAGAAAATGTCTTGATGTGAGCACCCTGCAAATGTGCAAGAATGTTATCAGTGCAGCACGTATGGTGTGCTTCACAGAACCGCTGTACTTCGGATGAATTAATTACATCCAGTAATTAAAAATTGCTAATAAGTTATTGAGCTGAGAAAGTCTCGCACTGCATTGATTTCGCTTATGGAAACTAACCAAAGCCTCCGAGGCCCCCAGGGTATTTCTTGTTCTTTCCTGGCACCTCCTCCATCTTATCTCCAGCTCCTCCTCCTCTGTGATCCTTGGTCACTTCAGCCACTGACAGGCTCAGGCTCTCTCATCCTAAAGCCAAAAGAGCTGGCTTTGTCCCAGCATCCCCCTGGGTACCATTTCACCTCTCCCCTTCCCTGCTCTCCCAGGCACCGCACCCAAAGCATCACCTGCTCTGGCTGCCTCCACTTCTACAGCTCCCCACACTCTGCCCACCAGGGTCTGTGGCTGCTCCTGTCTGCGTTAAGATCACCATATCCTTCTAAATGCCAAGTCTAGGTGGCACTTTCCAGGCCTGGTCATTCTGCATACCTCCCATGGTGGCCTCTGTCACTCTTCCTGCAGCCGAGCTCCTCTGACTTCACAGGCCCCTCCTTCTCTAGAAGCTTTCACACGGGGGTTCCCTAAGGGGCTCTCCTCAGCTCTCTTCTCTTTCCGTTCCACCCCCTCTCATGGTTCCAGCCATGCCTCATGTGCAAATTACACCCAACTGCATCTTCATCTCTGACCTCTCCTCCACGTCTCCAGCTGCCTGCCAGGACCCTCCCCCAAAGGCCCACAGTACCTCAAATTCAGTGTGTCCCAAATGAACTCGCCATCTCCCTGCTCCCTCTGCCCCTGTCATTCTTTCTTCCTCACTCAGTGTCTGTCTCAGTGACAGCAGCAGCCTCCCACATCCCAGGAGGCTAGGGTTTTCCTTGCTTCCTCCTCGAAGCTGAAGCCCCACGCCAAGACCCTGCCAAGTTTGCTTCCTTAGCATTTGTTGATTCTGGCTCCTCTTCTCTACCTCTTCTACTACCACAGGCATCCATCCTGCCATCATCTCTTGTCTGGATGACCTCTGTGAACCCCTAGCTATCCTCCCAGCTCCCAGTCAGACGCTTCTTCAAACCCAACTTCCTTATGGCTTTATGAGTGAGCTTTCCAAGAGGTGACTTTGACCTTGGTACTCCCTTGCTTGAACCCTCCATTCATCCGGCAAACACATACCTTCTATGAGTCAGGTCTATCTTGGGTGCTAGGGATACAGCAGTATGCAAAATGGACAGGATTCCTGCCCTCCTGGAACATATAGTCTGTGGGGGAGACAGGCAGTGAACAAGAGGTAAAGTGTGTTAGGTGGTGACAGGTGCCATGGAAAGGAATAAAGCAAGGGATGGGGATAGTAAGAGCTTCTAATATGAGGAGTGGCTTTTGAGCAAAGACCTTCAAGAGGCTGGGAGGTTAGGGAGCAAGGTATTTGCATATCTGGGGGAAGAACGTCCCAGCAGAAGGAACAGCAGGTGCAAAGGCCCTGAGGTGAGAGTTAGCCTGGCATGTGTGAGGATCAAGAAGGAGGCCGGGGTTGTTGGAGCAGAGTGAAGAAAAGGAGAGAGGTCTGAGTGTGAGTCAGAGGGGTGATCACCCATGTAGGACCTTGTCAGCCATTGGAAGCCCAGACTCTTAGCCACTGTGCTATATTATCTTTAATTATTCCACCATGCCCACCAAGGGATGGCCTGGTGAAGGGGACCGCCCTCTTCACCACCACCCCAGGAGCTGGGAGGGATGTTCCAGGGGCTGGGAGAGATGACCTGTCCCGGAGCTCATGGCCAAGCACCTCTGGGTTCATTCTTTGTCTGAGATAAATCCACAGGGCCGAGGGTCTTTCCTGGGTGAGCCCCAAGCTGACCAAGGTGCCTGCTGTCAGAACTTGTGCCCAGAGCAGGGACCTCCTTCTGTTATAACTTCTCGTCAGCTGGCCTATCTTCCCACTGTACTGGGTGTCCCGACGAGTGGGGAAATGTGATTTATCTTTCTATCCCTAGGTCACTGGAGATGTTCCGTTCACTTTTTAGAGGAATGCTCAAATTGATGATTATGTATTAAATGGGATATATGCAACCCCTTAGAGGTCCCCAAGGGAGAGAATGAGAAGCCCTAGTTAGAGGCCCTTCATGCAGTGCAGACCCAAGAGTCCCCACAGAGGAGGAGGTGGATGCGTAAGGAGGACCCTGCTCCCAGGACGTGTTGGGTTCTCTGGGGTGGCGGAGCCATCGAGGGTGTTGAGGGAGCACAAGGAAGGAAGGGGGCAGAAGGAGGCAGGGGCGGGGTGTCTTGGAGCCTCCTGCCCCCCAAGCTTCCCTCCAAGAGGCTGATGAGGAAGGCCCTGCCTGGAGAGAGGGGTGCCCGAGGCTCAGGCCGCTTAGAGCCATTTAGTGGAGCCACGGCCAATGCTTGGGAGGCTTGGATGACGATCGGGAGTCAAATGTTTAATTACTGGAGCGAGAAGAAGTTGATCCTGGACTTCTTTAATGTTCTCCCCTATCGTGCCTTCAATTAAGATCAAGGCCCCTGTGTAGCAGCCGCTAAATGACACCGCATATTGAATCTCTGTGCTCAAGCAGTTTATCTAATTATCTGTGTGACAAACTCAGCAGCTGTCAGACCAGCCACAACTCAAGTGTGTTGGTGCTGGGCCCCTGCCTGGAAGCATTTTCTGCTTACTAACATGCTCTACTGTACATGCAGAATCCCTTTCAAAGTTCTTCTGTCGCCTGATGATGTAAGGAGTTGAAGGGGCCAGTGGCTGGGAGGACAGTGGGTGCAGGAGTCGGGCAGGGGCCTGCAGGTCAGCCTGCTCTTGGTTCTCAACCCCACCCTCCCTCACCTGCAGCCCCTGCAGCTGGCATGGGGGCCCGGCCTCTCTGCCTGCTCTTCTGGACGGGAAAGCAGTGGCCCAGTTTGGGCCATCTTTTTTTTCTCCAAAGAGAAGGGAGGAATATTCTCCACTGTGTTAAATTAACTGACATAAATCAAGGAAGTTCGGAGGGGCAAACCCACACAGTGAGCCAGGGAGAGGTAGGCTACTGCTGTCCTCACCAGCAGAGAGCGTCCACGTGGTACCCATCCCCCAGCAGAGCAGGCTCACTGGATGCAGGAGTATCGAGACCACATCGAACCACCCAACCCTCCGCCTGTGGAGTTGAGTCCTCAGCCAGGACTGCCAAGGGACAGAGCTTCAGAAAGCTGAGGCCCAGCCCTGTGCAGCATCCTGGGGCCCAGAGGACCACCTATGGCTCCTGTTGTAGGTGAACTTGTGCCCAGTCCCACACCAGGTGCCACAGGAGAGCTGGGTCCAGAACACGGAGTATTCTCGAAGCTAATGAGGGAAGACAGAGCTTCATAATGACTCTCGGGTTTGGGCACCTCCTCCTCTCGAGTCCTGCCCTCTGCCTGCCTCCTTCTTGTGATCACCTCTGCTTTGATGCATTCTGATCCTTCATTAATGAAGATAATGAGAGTGAAACTATTTTCAAAAACTACCTAAATGAAAGTAATAAAATCGCTTTGCTTACAGGTAATTAAAATTGCCGGACACAGTGACCTCTGTCCATTTGTTATGAGCAGGGGGTCTACGTTGTGCATTTCTCTTTGTACGTCAAAGGATGGCTTATCCGGTGGGCTGGCAGGTGTGTCTGTTTACTTGTCTCCCTTAGGGAACTTCTGTTTGCTCTTCCCCTTCTCATCTGTTAGTCCACGTTCCCCCCCCCCACCCCCGCTCCCCGGCTTCTGTCAGCTAAGGTGTGGCCCGCAGGCCTGGTCCCAGCTGTCCAGCAAATGCCTCTGTGAGCCCCAGCCCACCTGCTCCTTCTGCCCGGCTGACGTCTCTGACTCCTCCACCCAGACCTTGTTCTCTGTCTCTCTCTTTCTTTCTCCCCCACCTCCCTTCTTTACCCTCCCTCTCTCTCTGTCTTTCAGATGTTTTGTGGCTCACCCACTGATTCATGTTCCCATCGAAATATAGCAAATCCAAGGTCTTTTTCATGGGCTTTGCAGGGAGCTTCACCCGGTAGGTGGTGCTTGTGCGCGCCCAGCTCTGCGTGGGCCCTCGTGGCTGAGATTTTAAGCTTCTCCTCATTCAAGCCTGCCCAGTGATTTTGGGATCGCTAGGTGAGAGGCGCCCGAGGCCATGGCGGGTCTGCTAGCCGAAGCTTTCCTGATAGGGGGTGATGATGGAGAAAGGGGGACTGAGGAAGAGGCCTCTGCCAAGCTGCAGAAGGAGGAAACCCCAGCGTGAGGAAGAGTTCTCAAAAGGGGACACCCAGAGACACTGGGGTAGTGGTAGAAGTGGTAGCAGGAAGCGTCAGGAACACATGTTGTCCCAATTATGTAGAGAGTAAGCTTGCTGGTTCTCCTTTGCTCACATGAGCAGAACTCCAGATTCCAAGGATGTCTCTCAACTGTTTAGTCACAAAGTGCTGGTTACAGGGACGTTATGACACCCTCAGTGGTCACATTCTGTCATTCCACAATCTGGACAGTCTTGCCAGGGTTGGGATGAGAGTAAATGGAGGGGAAGCCTGCACAGACCGGTTTGAACAGGAATTAAAGAGAAGTTGGCTCTGCCACACACAAAGAGGGGAGCACCACACTGAAGATGCAGAGGCAGAGCGTGCTGTGGGGAAAATTATTAGAAGAAAAAGAAAGATGCTCCGTAGACAGCAGCTGTTCTACTCTCATTTCAAGGAAACATAACTTCTGCAATGAGATAAAAAATGGGATTATGAATTGGCTGAGCCACAGCCAAAAGTAAAATGGTAGCTGGAGGAGGTAAGGAAAGAAGAGAAGGAATCTGGAATACAATAGCCAAAGTGCCAGCACATTTCAAGCTGTAAAGGACAAGATTAACGATACAGAAATCAAACAATTGCCTTCCAATAAGGACAACAAACTTGAAAACCCACTACCAAAATACACAGGAAAAAAAGTAAAATATAATAATAACGTGAGAAAAGATGATAGCTATGTAGGACAGAGACAAATGTTTTAGCATAGTGGTGACTGGTCATCTTAAAGGCCCCAGAGCAAATCAAATGGACACAACAAGTAAAGGAAGATTTGTTTTTAATTGTCCTGAGCTGGAAGATTCCTAAAATAAGTCCAAAAATAACGCTAAAGTTTCAGGATTTCAAAAATTTTTTTAATATATTAGAAGTGTCCAGGGGCCAGCCCGGTGGCACAGCAGTTAAGTTCGAATGTTCCGCTTCTCAGTGGCCCAGGCTTCGCTGGTTCGGATCCCGGGTGTGGACATGGCACCCCTTGGCAAGCCATGCTGTGGTAGGTGTCCCACATATAAAGTAGAGGAAGATGGGCACGGATGTTAGCTCAGGGCCAGTCTTCCTCAGCAAAAAGAGGAGGATTGGCAGCAATTAGCTCAGGGGCTAGTCTTCCTCAAAAATATATATATATATATATATATATTTTATATATATATATTCTAATATATATATATATTAGAAGTGTCCAGGCAGCAAAAAAAATCTGGTTTTCTATGAAGGAAAAAAAACTCCTATAGTCTTAGCCTTTTCTGCAACATTAAGAAGCAAGAAGGCAATGAAGAACGTCTGTAGAGTTTTGAGGAGTTAAGATGCTACCCCAAGAATTCTACACTTGTCCATTGGTGATCCATGTGTAGAAACAACAGAAAGGATTTTGGGTAGGCATGGGCTCAGGTAATACACACCCACGTATTCTTGACTGGGAAAAAAATACTGAAAGGCAAACCCCCAACAATCTAGAGACAAATCAAAGAATTTGAGAATTTGATGCTTAAGGCCTAGAGGTGAGCACAGGGACCCCTTACTCAAAAGTTGCCTAAATAATTGTTTTAAACATAGTTAGCAAAAATTGCAAAGGGTGAATAATGAAGTTAAGCACAGTTCATTTCCTTGACTCACTTGTGGGGATTTCAACAGATCTTGCATAATTCTTGACTAAATATGTTAAAAAGCATATCAGCTCAACCAGGCAATTTTCCATTAACTCCTTCCCTTTTGCCCAGCATGATCCCAATACTGGTCCCAAATAAGTATCCCTGGTTGTTCCCAGCCACACCGAGGAGACTTTGCTCCTGCCTCTGCTGGTGTGTTCAGAGACCATGTGTAGGATCAGCCGTTGACTGAGGTGACATTCCCTAAGGTCTGGCCTCCCACACCTTCATCACACTAGCTGTAGTGTGCCCACCCAGGAAGCATGCCTGGGCTGTAACCAGAGTAGAAGAAAACTCTGATGTGTCATAACATGTTCTCTTTGAGCAGTGATGCCTTTGTTAATGGGCACATGTCAGTGCACCGTTGACGTGGCCTGGACTGTTGTTTCTAACTTTCCAATCGAAAATATGTGGTTAATCAATGAGCAAGGAAGGCATGAGAGCAGAGCCCTGTGGCAAAAGAAAAAAGGTCAAGAAGGCAAAAGAGCTGACCTCTTGGAGGCAGAGATTAGACCCCTGACTCAGCCAGGGGCCACCATGGCATATAGCCATGCACAGCAGAAAAGAGGATGGCCATCGGGGTAGGGTCAACATAATAATGGCCACCGTTCATTGAGTATCTGCCAGGTTCCCAGTCCATAGCAGACAGTTTATGGGCATTATCTCATGTAATTCTTCTCCCAGTTGACATTTGGCTTAGGGACATAGAAGCCAAATAATTTGTCCAGTCACTGAGCCTATAAATGACAGCACGACAACTGGGACCTACCTTCCTCTCTGGCTGTACTCCAGTGGCCACTCCAGCAGTTGGGAGGGGCTTTCCTGAGGGAGGGGGCCTTGACCTGAACCTTGAAGAATGGGCAGGACTCGAGTCACCAGGTATTGGGGGAAGGCAGCAGCAGGTGGAAATACTTAATGCAGCTTTGCTAAGTTACCGACAGCGTTCCTTCCTCCTCCCTCAGACTTGCTGCTGTGACTTCTCAGACAACATAGGCCTAAAAATGATCTTCCCCTGAAGGGAAATGGATAGAAGGTCGAGTTTTTCACAGAAATCAAGCATTATCACATCCAGTCATTTAATGAGATGAATCACCTTCACACACCTTCTGCTTTAGAGGCCAGTGACCATGCCTATTGGACATGTGACGTGACCACCTCAGTGGAAGGACGTGCCCGCTCCCTGCCGGTGAGACAGGGGCGAGCAGCCTTCATTTCAGAGGGAGGGAAACCCTGTGTCCGCCTCGTGTCTGTTCTCACCGGTGTCCCTCACCCCCGCCAAATTTTAGTAGCATGAAGATCTTGTTTACGTGCCAGGCTTGTCTCAATAAACACTCTCTGAACAGTTTTAAAGGAACAAATTTGCCATTTTAAAAAGTTTCGTGGCTCTCAGGGCAAACAGTTGTGGGTATCAGGAAGAACTAATGGACAGCAGGATCTATAGAAAGGGAAGGCAGCGCTCACCGCTGGCAAGTGGGAGAAACGCCAGCAGGAGCCCACGTACTAATTCAGAGAAACAGCTGGCGGCAACAAGACACCCCCTGGCATGTGCTCATCTGGAAGACTGCGGGGCAACAGCTCGAAGCCAGGCACCTCCCGGCTTCCTTTGGGTACAGCTCCTTAGGGACTCAATTGACTGAGATGACAATCATCCAAATTTGTGGCAAGTTGTTGTGACTTTATACTTCTCACCTGTTGAAGAGACCCGAGACTGGACGGGAAAGGAGGCCAGGGTAACAGTTAAGGTCCAGAGTCGGGGCTGTGTGCCAGGCGCTTCAGACGCTCTCTCCGTCCCCTGGGTCCTGAAGCAGCCCTTCAGGATGATGACTGTTATCCCAGGACCACCCAGCTGGTGAGGGGGCAGCTGCAATTCAGACTCACGTCTACATGGCTCTTTGATTTTAAATTTTGAATGTTAACTTTGCTCCTTCTGCTCTGCCGCATCTCTTGTACATATAATGATTTTTATAATTAATATAAGAAAACGAGCCATGGAAATCATCTGATTTTTAAAGCACCCACTGATTGTTGTTCCACAACTTGGCGGATTGTGTCTGTTCATACTTCTGTTCTGAAGGAAGCGTTTTTGCACGTGTAGCGTGAGGTCACCTTGCTGTCAGCCACGCTTGCCTCAGCAGAGGATTGGTGATGTTTTTTGAAAACATTTGTTCCTTTGTTGTCTTTGCTCCTTGTGCTATTGTCTTTGCTCCTCGTGCTACACCGTACCTTCTGTCTCTGTCGTGATTTTATAAATCAAAAAGGAAAGAGAGCTCGCAGTGAGCGCTGCCCAACATGGTCTTGGCCGGGATTGGCCGGGAACTGTGTGTCGCTCATCTCAGAGGAGCCGGGGGTTGTGCGCGGAGCCACTAACCAGGTCTGCTGCCTGTGCACTCGGCCTCCCGCGGTGGCCCCAGGTTGGGTTGGGGGACCAGCATTCTGCGGGGCAGCCCCGAGTGGCAGCCCTGGAGAAGGGGTCAGAGTGGTTGTGATCAGGGAAAGGGCGGTCCAGGTGACATCATTCAGGAACCAAGGTGTGCCCTGAGCTTCGTTCCACCTGTTCGTTTGCATTCCCGGGGCAAGTGAAGTGTGGTCCTGCCCTCAGCATCATGTGGATCAAGATTCCCTCTTATGTTTCAGGATTTGTCAGAAAAATCTGTGATTCTTATATCTGGGCTCTTCATGATGTGGCAGCTTTCAACAACTCAGCCTTTCATTTATTCAGCAAACACTTCTGAGCACCTACTGTGCACCAGGCATAGTTTAGGGACCAGGGACTCAAGAAGGGTGTGCTAACCAGGGTGGTGAGCACCATGACAGAGTGCCCCCTGTCTGTTATAGAAGGAACCAGGGAGGCCTCCTGGAGGAGGTGCCATCCGGGCTGAGTATTAAATGATGAGTGGAAATGGGTGAGGCAAAGAGGAAGGGAAAGGGCCTTTTAGGCCAAGGGTTGGGGTGTGAAGCCAGTATGGGGAGCCACAGGTGTTTCCTAAATGTGAGGCTCAAGATGGGGAGAAAGCAGCAAGAGCTGAGTCTTGGGGGCCTTTGACCAGGCCAGGGCCTGCCCTTGAATGTCAGGTTAAGGGGCATGGACTGCCTCCTGTAGGCAGGATTCTGGGGTTTTACACAGTCTGCTGGTGTTTAGAAAGATCGCCCAGTGTCACCGTGGGGAGCCGCTTGGGGCAGAGCCCAAGAGCAGGCATTTAAGGCGTCTAGCAGAGAGAAGTGGAGCCTGAATTAAGGGGGTGGACAGACTGGAGAACTATTCAGGAAACATAAATCTGGCAGGACCAGCAACTGGTTGAGACACAGGGAGAAGGAGGCACGGGGATGGGGTCCAGGCTCCAGACGGACATGGGTGCCTTTTCTATGGAGATGAGAACGCAGGAGAAGGAGCCATGTGAGTGGTGGGAAATGTTAGGACTGGCCCCCAGGTGAGGCTGTGGAGTCTAAGGCCCTGTGGGACGTCTAGGGGAGAGGAGTTCAGTCTGTGTGAAGAGCCTGCTTTCTAGACTCCAGCCATTCCTGCCTGAAGAGGCTTTCAAACATTTTTGGGTTGGCAGGATCAGCCCCACCTCCTACCCACAGTGTATTAGTGAGAGTTCTCCAGAGAAACAGAACCAAAAGATGTACGTACATATAGAAGGAGATTTATTATAAGGAATTGGCTCCTGTGACTATGGAGGCTGAGAAGTCCCCAATCTGCAGGGTGGGCCAGCAGGCTGGAAACCCAAAAGGAGCCAATGTTCCAGTTGGGGTCCGAAGGCCGTGTGCTGGAGAATTCTGTCTTACTTGAGGGAGAGTTGGTCTTTTTGATCTACTCAGGCCTTCAACTGATTGGAGAAGGCCCACCCACATGGTGGAAGGCAATCTGCTTTACTCAAAGTCCGCCAGTTTAAATGTTAATCACATCCAAAACTCTTACAGAAACATCCAGAATAATGTTTGATCACATATCTGGGCACTGTGGCCTAGCCAAGTTGACACATAAAATTAACCACCACACCTTTTCATCCCAGGATTGTTCGAAGTGCCTTCCTCAGACCTTAGCTGGTCCTTGTCTAACCAGAAGTACAGGCTATCGAGGGTGGGTCTGCATGAGGTCCTTTGATTGATGGGAGCCAAATGTCCCATCTGGCCAGGCCCTGAACAGCCCCAAGGATGTGCTGGCACACTGTCGGGGCACAGCCGTAGCCACCCCATCTGGAGAGCAGAGTGCTGACTCAGAAGGGAAACGCTGCTTGGACGTCCAGTCCAGGGT